AGCATTTTTTCGCTTCTTATTTTTAGTAACATCTTTTTCGCAAGCCTAGATTTTCGAGTCAATAATTTTTTATAATCAAATATTGCTAGTCCTGTATCCCAAATTTTCTGTTTTCACTGAGCTTAGTTCAGACATTTTTGCATATTATAAAAGGAACTTTTCCTTGCTAACACATAAATTGCATAAGCATGAATAATGCATCTGCTATGATATTATGTGGGTGCCCTGTTATAGTTTTATTTGGGGCCTCATTAAGTTTGTCCTAGTGTTCTGGGAGTTTTTCGATTCCATCTTTGAGCCGTGTGCCTTCCATTTACAAAAGAATTTGAGCTAATCCTTCTATCGTATTATTCCATCGGGCAAATATTGGCTTTATTTATTGCCTTACCAGCTTGAGTATAATCTAGCAGTGATAATATGAGCTAATTTTCTGGGGCCTCTTATATTAGCTCTCCTAGATGATCTTGTTTCCTAAACACACCTATTGTTCGAGTATATTTAAACGATTTAAGCTTTCATTGCTAAAGAGATTCAATTAAAATTAGCCACTATGAGACTATCATGAAGTACTTTGAGCTCGTTTTCGCAAATTATCTGTGTTGTCAGAGTGACCTTGATAAACGCACGTATTCCCGAGTCCTCTGCCACAGTCATAGTAATTTCCGGCGTCGAATCTTGGACTTGTTACATTCCGATACACTTCGCTGACATCGTTATCAGCATAATCAGTGAGCTCTAGCACTAAGCTAAAATTATTCTCTTAGGCGTCAAAGAGATAAGGCTTTTCTGAAACTAAAGGAGACTGCATCTTCAAAGAATCTCTGAATAACTTGAATTCACTAGGTCAGCGAAGTGTATCGGAATGTACCAAGTCCAAGGTTCGAAGCCGGAAATTATGACGTCTGTGGCAATAAATAAAGCCAATATTTCCGACTTTGAAACATAATGCGAAATTAGGAACGATTAGCCAAAATTTCCTAGTAAATTAAGGATATTAATCGCAGTCGAAAACCCTCCATAACATCACGACTAACTTATTGGCGCTTACATCTCAGCACATAAAGCAGCAGGAGCAGAAACCACTTCCATTGAGACAAAGCCGAGTCACAATTCGAATAATTCACTCCTCTACTTTTCCTGCTATTTAATTGTATTATTCCAGCATGAGACCGTCTGCCTGGATACCCTAACGTAGTACGGTGTACACCCTCACTCTCGATTCGCCCGGCCATGTTTCAATAACCAGATCGAGCTGAACATTATGACCAGAATCAAGGCGTTTTAACTCGAAAGAAGGCATTACAATCTTGGCACTTGCTAACATTTTTTTATATGCCTTCTGTACCATGCATTAAAATAGCAGTTATATGCCTCCTTATTAAAGTATTGTTCAGCTTAACAGCCTCCTATCTTTTTCCAAATTGTTTTGCAGCTCCTGATAAAATGAAGCGTGTTATACAAAATCAGTCCTCATTGACTAAATTCTTTTCTCCGAAACCGAAAGTTCAACGTCTCGATTTCTCATCTAACTTAAACGCCAAAGGAAATTCTTCCGAAAGACTAGCAACAAACTCCAATTGGTCTCCGGCTAGTTCACCGGTCGTAGCATCTTCTAACTCTCCTAAAATATCTCCCTCCTTACCTAAAACTTCACATTTAATCCCATTAAAATCCCAATCTCCAAAATCAGCAGAAGGATCTTTGTCCGAATCACCCGTTAAAATCGCGTTTTTGTCTGCCGACTCAACCAATTTGGCGAGATTGTCACCTGACAAGATTTCTAAGTTTACTTTGCCTATGAAGACTCACGAGTCTTCTACCCCTGCGCTAGAGCTACCTACTACCTTGCTCTCAGAATGCACGTCGATAAGCTCTCACTGTAAAACCATCGATTCATCCTCAAGACCTTCCTCTCTGCCACGCGGTCCACTGCATCAATCTACAGTCTCCCCTGCCATGAAATCAAAAGTTCTAAAATCACCAGGTGAGACGGAATTTTCACTTTCTTCCACCAGGGCTTCTGACAACTCCCTGGATGCTTTTTATTCAACATCTTATGTTTCTGATTTACTTACCGAAGCTTATGTATATCGTTCTTCTTGCAACCTAGCTCAATCTCTTCTTCCTCCACCAGCCGCCTGAAAGATAAACTCAATCTAGTTTCTTTACTTCTAGATAGATCACCTCAAGAACATTTCATCGCCCTAGGTGTTTCAGTCTGCAACGATAATTCTCCAAATCTTTCATCAAGCAGACTATACGAAACGGAGAACCCACTTTCACAGGTTAAAGATTCTCAAGTCGTTAA